TTTTTTTTTTTTTTTTTTTTGAGACAGGGTCTCACTATGTAGTTCAGACTGCCCTGGAATTCACTATGTAGCCCAGACTGGTCTCGAACTCACAGCGATCCTCCTGTCTCTACCTCCCAAGTGCTAGGATTACAGACATGCACTACCATGCCTGGCTCAATCATTTTTATTTCTACTGTTTTATAAATCCATTGTATTTACAGTCCTATAGTTAGAAAAAAATCTTTTCCTCTTCTCCCACAAATCCCAAAAGAGGACACTTAATCAATGTGAGTTCTATGTGAAAAAGTAAATACAGTACTATTCAAATACATCTGAAATAGATTAAAAGCCAAGATGGAAAAGAAAGGATATAAAAGAAGCCCCCCAGAGAGAAGCAGAGAGGCTAGCGCAAAGAGCCTGTTGGGTTTCATGAGTGAAGAAGCTTGAGCACAGGTCTCTTAAGACTATACTATAAAAGCACTCTCTAGCTTTAGTTTTACTTTGTTTTCTTAAGATTAGTTAAATGCTGATATATTTTCATAAGCCATAGGAACAGGTCTAGGAGATTTTTTAAAACCTTTTGAGATTTTTCATTCTCTCTGAATTCTCTTTTCTTTGTAAATTGGTGATCTCCTCCCCTAGATCTAGGCCTTTGGAGGGCATTCTCATACAATGATTTTCTGGATTAATGTGGCTTGAAAAGAACAGCATTGAGTTATAAGAAATAAAAGAACCAATAACTTTTGATTTTTCTTGGGATGACTCCTGTGATATTATATAAGAAAAACTACTCTAAATAGCACTTTCCTTCCTTGGCTGTATATACAATGTTTCTGATAAAAAATTGTTCTGTCATGCTCATACTTTCATTTTACACTATTTATAAAAGGCCCCCAAACACTATATCTTTTCAGTACAGTTCAAAATTACTTATTATGACTTCTAAAAATATAGAACTAAAAAGCAGAACAGACCACTAGGAAATAATTCTTGGTTAAGGAAGCGGAACCTTTCTGAGTTATGTACTTTATTCAATCATTACTAAAGTGAAGACATTAAAACAAAGGCTGCACTTTTAAAAAAATACAAGTTATGAAAAGGATAAAATACCTGAAGAAGAGACTTTGGAGGAATAACAACTGCAAAAATAGCTATCTTAAATAAGGTTAACAAAGACTGAGAAATAAAATGGAATATAATGATCAGAAATGGAAGCTAAATGAAAGAAATAGAGGATGGTTTCTTTATATATGTTCTTCAAAGAATGAGTAGTTTCAGATCCTCCTGAGCCATTTTTCTCAACCTCCTGTTTTAGAATCAACATATTACAAGTGACATATCATTCAGGAAGACTCTTGACTAATGAATAAATCCAGAAGTAGCAGCAGATCTAAGGTAGGTCAACCAGCAAGAGGAAAATCTGAAATATTGATGGAGTGTTTAGCTGGCCCAAGGAAGATGTAGTCCCTGTATAAATCAAGCATCAGTGTAAGAGACCCTTTCCCAACTCACCACAGTGAAAAGGAAGTCTGCACAATTTTTTTTCCTGTCAAACAGAAAGACTTCCTAGCACTTATTCCATCCTATCTGCACCCAACCTGCTCTACCATTCTACTTGCTTAGCTACCTTTAATACAGTCAATTCTTGGGCTACATGATGATGCAGTTTTGTGCCTTCACTTTAAGTGCCATGTGTTCCCAGATCTGAGAATTAAGTCACAGGTAATAAGGATGGCCCACAGAGTCCAAAGGGACAGTTAGACTTGGCTGCTACTGGAATGAATGTAGTTACATAAGGATGAGTGCAGGTACAGAACATTTGCTACCCATCTCCGCCTCTATACGCAGTTCTCTTTGAAAGGGGAAAAGACATAAGAGAGGAAACATATTGAATTGAAAACACATTTCGCAAATGTTAGCTGAAATAATTTTAGGAAAAAAGACATGAGGAAAACACTCCAGAAGCAAGGAGCTAGAGGTCCTAACAATTTTCTCAGGCCAGCAGTGTGCCAAAGGTTGCACTGCTTTAAGCCTTTTGACCAGGAACTGGCTTAAAAAAGAATATCTGCAACATGTTTCTTAGTGATTGAAATCTTGTTATAACAGGATAGAGACATCCCAGTCAGAGCTCAATACCAGGACAGAAGGTCAATTTTGAAGAAATAAGAGAAAGCACATACATAATATTACGATGGAGTTAGGGCTCTCTCCTGGAGGCTCAGAGAAGCCAATACTATGGCATGGGCTTTTACAAAGAAAAAAGAGCTTTACTGTAGGTTAAATGACAAGAAAATGGGAGGCTACTGAATGGGCTAGTAGCAAAAATTTAAGTGGCCTGGCGGAACAGTCCACACTCAGTCAGTGGGCCCAGGTGGAACTTGTGGACAATTCTGGTCTGTCCTGCAACTACCGCGGCACTCCTATCTTCTCATCTTGGTCCAGGGGCCTTGTTCTGTTCCTCAGCTTCCTCTCATGCAACTAACTTGTGGTTCTATCAGCCTATCAAGGTCATCTTGGGTCCAGTTTTAAGGTTCTGCAACCTCCATCCCATAAATCAGCCTGAACATTTTTTAGGGGGCAAGGAAGTTGTTTTATGGCTCCGTTTCAAAGTCATTTCATTTGTGTGTTTGTTCCTTTAATATTAAAATACACTCTGTGACCGAACTACACTACTTTGGGCATTCTGAACACCAGCCTCACCACCCTGGAAGTACTGACCCAGAGAGGACAGTCCTCTGCTTCGGCGCAGCCCAACTTCTGCAAGCATTTAAGAGGTAATTATTCCTCCAGCTTCTTGATAGGTAATAAGGTTACTGGATCTGATTATTTATATAGACAGAAAACAATGATGCTCAGATTCTGACAACTTA